TCCTGGCTGTTTGCAGTATTGTTTCTATCATTGGTCACTCTGACTGGACCATGGTGCTATTGACCTTAGCTGTTGCTAGGGGAGGAAGCAGTCCTCTGAAGAACCCGCCAGGGCATCCTACAGATCCCAAACCCTCTCTCCTGTTGATCTTTGCAAATAAATATCCAAAAGACCCTAAGACTTGAGCCTGTTTTGTTCGGGAGTGTCGGTGGTGCTAGTTCTGAATAAAGGGGCCGGTGGCTGGCGAAAACAGGTAGGAGAACCTATTTCATATTCAGCGGCTCCTTCAGGGGTGAGCACTACAGTAGCAAAGATATTCGAGTGCACATTCTGCAGAAAAAGGATGTCATTACAGTGAGCGAAGCCAAGAACATTACAAACTGCACCTAGCCATGCACATATGCACTGCCCCATCACAGTAACTATGCCATTCAGGTCTGATGTTTCATTTGAGTTTGCTATGCCTGCGCTATAACTTCACATTTAAATAGCTTGCATACACTCCTTTTATTGCCAACACTGGTCTTCAGAAATATAGACTTTAAATCCCAACTGCAGGACCAGCATTTCTCCACTGGAAGCATAGCACCCATGCAACGTTACCATAATGTAGTGGTTTAACTGCTTTAACAGAATAATTCTTAGCCTGCCTCCTTGGCTCCTCCTTCAGCCAGCAGTGCCGGGTGGGAGGAGAGAAGACACTATTAAATAACACAGAACAGGATGTACAGAGGTGATATATAAAGAAGTGGCACATACGTAGAGTCTAATAGATGTGTAGAAATGTACAGATTACACATGAGTGTACAGAAACAACGGGCTGCGGAAAGGCTAGGGGTGGTCGTTGATGCTCTCAGCAGTGCAATGACACCCCCTTTAATAATGAGAACCTCAAGAGGAATGTCTATAACATCCTGACTACTATCAAACAGACTGGACCTTGCAGACCATCGCGCATCCTGAAAGAGAAAGCGCTACCATAGTAAGTGGACCTATTCACTGGGAGAAATGTATCAGATCGTCAGCAGACAGAATCCGGAGACCATAGGAACCATTATTGATGACATTATTGAATTAAATGTATTATTATTATTTTTATAATGATTATATTATAACTTATGATTTCGTGTTTCAAACTTTATCATACCCGGGATGTCTCCTAGACTTGTTTGGACAGGTGAGTTATTACTAAGAATTACAGGCCTACAATATAAAACAACAAATTTCCATGCAAAACAATGTAACGCTTTGACATTCAAAAATGCTGACATAATCAGACCGCCAGGGAGGTTAAGCTTTGAAAATAAAAGGATTGGTTACTATGGACAACTGCTCCAGATTTTGTCTGATCCCCTCATTACATGTAGGGATGCACCGATATATCGGCCGAAAATGGCACTTTTGGCAAAATGCCGAAACAGCCATGTTTCGGCCGATACATCGGCGCATCCCTGGCAGAGCGGTGTGGGGGCGGAGACAGCGCTGTCACAGGAGGCTGGGCTTTCCTCTCTGCACCGCTCGATCAGCCTCCTGTGACAGCGTGTGTCTGTGTCAGAGAGGAGAGCAGGCTACATAAACTCAGCGATCAGTAATCGCTGAGTCTGTGTACATAATTGAGGACATGGTATGTGTACTATATCCTCAATTGTGAATGAATGGGAGACATCTACATCACCTCCTGTTCATTCATAATTGTGGTTATAGTAAACAAACAATGTTCTCATGTTATCAATGATCAGGAACACTCAGTATAGAGGATTCCTGTTCATTTGTAACTGGGGATACAGAAAAAGAGATAGAAGACTCTGTGTCCTCAATCTCTTTTTCTATTTTAAAAGGGAAATATCAGGTGTCTGTTTAGACCCCTAATATTTCCCCAAAGCCCCTAAAAGTACAGTACAAAAATATTTAATCAAAAATGAATGAATAAAAATTAAAACATTTATAAAAAATACAATATTTTTAATATTTTCGTTTCGGTTTTAAAATTTCCATTTCGGTGCATCTCTAATTACATGTAAAGCTGCAGGAGGAAGAAGAAACGCATGGAGTCATTTCTCCAGTCCTGCACAAAGGATGTACGTTTACCCTGTAGAACTGGAGTTGGGCTTTAAAGCCAAGAAAACATTAACGCTTTTCGGGATTCGATTTTGCTAAAAATTACTCCAGGTTTTATTTTTTAAATTAACCCTTGCAATGGGGTTACCCCCGTACTGCAAGGGTCAGGTGCTAGTTTTGGTCTAGTGATGCAAATAAAGCTATACTCACCTGATCCTCTGAGCCGGCTTGCTCTTAGACCGGTCTCTGGAACTTCCCTCCCCCTCCTCTGCAGCGGTCTAAGGTCCCATAAATCACTGTGTATAGAACTTGAGGATGCCAAGGGACATACCATTGCTGCAGCGTAGGCAGAGACAGGCTGGAGGGAGTGCGGTCATAGCCAGCAGCTTGGAGGATATGGTGAGTGTAACTTTTTTTTATTTTCCTCCCTAGACCAAAATGAGCAGCTAATCCTTAGAGTGCAGGGGGTAGCCCCACTGCAATGGTTAATAATACAGTTCCACGAAGTTCTGCTTTAACTCTTTCGGTGTGGAGGCAGTGGAGGGTTCATTTTAATAAACCAAATCACCCAACCAAGGAACCATGGGCAGGCTGCTTCTATGGCAGGGAATCTGTGGGGATGCTGGAACAAGTCCAGTAAAAGTTGTTGCCATAACAACAAAGACATTTTGGGTCCAATTTAAAAAGCAGAAGTATGACCATGAGAAAAATATGGAGAGAATCTGACATTGAAGAAATCATCCAAATAGTATTTTATCTTATCTTGTAATATCATTGTATCTGGACAATTCATGTTTGGTGTGGTGTTCCTCTCAGTTACACACCCAGGGCAGAGTGGAAATACTGGTGTGGAGATGAATCCATACATCCTCTATACCCCCCCCCCAGCAACAGAATAACTAGAAGGTTCCAGCACTGCCCTTCCAAACTATAAACACTGCACATTTATAAAGCACCATTATGTGCTTCACAAATCCCTCTGCGCTCCTCCGGTTTTGGGGGGCCCAAATCCAGAAGAGTACAAACCATAAGAAATATAATAGAAGTCAACTCCGGGATAATCACATAGAGGGAAATATATCAAAACTGGAGCAGACAAATCTGGAGCTTCTCTCTTCAGCTTGTTCAGTTAAGAATTGAAAATGAAAAGGTAGAAGCTGATTGGTTATGCACAGCTGCTCCATTATTTGATAAATTCCCCTCATAATGTCTTTGCACAAGGGGTAAGTGTTGTGCTTTGTGTATTTCTTCCAGATCTGTGCAGTGTAAAATGTCTTCACTGTGCTGAAGTTTTCTGTAATAAAGACCCCTCACCCGTGCTGCTCTCTCACCTTTTGCAGACTGACTGGCCTTGCATCCTCCCCCTCCTGTAGTGGGTGTGGATTGCCAGGACACTCCCACAGCTCTGCTCCCTATACAGGCTACTGCAGCACAGTGAGGATGTCACCACTACATTTACAAGGTAATATCTAGGTCTGTAAAGGCATTTGGCTCCACACAAAGTGCCAAAAAATTAAAGAATCATAAAAAAATAAAGCATAAAAAAAAAAAAAATGTAAGTCCCCGCACCCCACATACACATGCAGATGAGTCGGGTGCGCCTACGTGCGAAAACGCCGCAAACGTCGGAGTGAGAGCAATCATTTTAGAGCCATTAATCACTGATAATACTAAACTGATGAGAAGTAAAAGCGTTTTAATCGTCGCCTATGGGCGTTTTTTGCGATTTTGCGGGTGCACGCAATTTTAAGGCTTGACATGTTTGGTGTCTATTTACCCGACGTAAAATTGTAGAAATGTCACCAGCACACCAGTCCTTTTAAGATAGCAAAAGCTTAATTTATTGAAGTTTTTGGTCATATGACCAAACAAGCGCTTTTGGGACCGCACAGGGTCAATGCTAAAGCCTGATGAAGGGACCCTGTGCGGTCCCAAAAGCGACAAGGATAGTACTTATTATTTACCCGATGTGACACCGAATTTTATGTTTAACTAAAAATATGGGTAAGAATAAATGTTTTATAACATAACGTAGGGAAACTTTGTTTTTTACATTTATGGTACTTTTTTCATTATATAGTTAAAAAAAAAAAACATCCCCCAGTGATGATTATATACCTCCAAAAGAAAGCTGTATCTGTCCCCAAAAATGTTCAACATAAATTGCAAGGCTATAGTCCGGTCATGCTGACTGTGACATTTTGGACTGACTGGCGAGACACCATCAAATTTTTCAAGCCCTGTGTATATATATAAGAGCTTTTGCCTGGAGTTCAGCCTAAGGCCCCGTTCCCACTGCGCGATTTGCATATTGTGCGACATCGCGAGATTTGCCGCGCGATGTCGCGTTCAAGCTTGCATTGAACAAGCTTGAATCGCGGCTAAATCCGCTCCAAAAAGGGTCCTGCTGTAGCGACACACGACCCGCGACAGCAGGACCCTTTGCCTCATTGGATTGGAGCGCGATATCGCGCGGGAATTACCGCGCGATAAATCGCTCAATGTGAACGGGGTCTTAATGACAGATGTTTACATAAAAAAGGGCCCAGTCACTCCACCTGTGCAAGTCATATGAAGGGCTCTTCTATCATCACAGAGCTTTCTCTGGGCCGTCTCAAGCAAACAGAACTTGTTAGAGCAATGGAGTGTACAAAGCACAGCTCACGTTTTATGAATGGGCCATAGAATGTGTGCTGTGCTGTTTATCAGAGAGCAGGTAGATGTCCATTATAAAGCAGCCCCTCACATCTCATCCTGGACAGTAGTGCTCACTGAGTGTTGGAGTGTGACTAACTTCTGTACATAGATCACACAGATATTACATGGTCAGTGTACATGCAGCTCCCTGACAGCCAGTGTTGTGTATGGAGGAAGCTGCCCTGTATTCGGTACACAGGAGCTCACAGAGGACACGTCTACGGAAGTGGCGGCGGAGCTGTTACCTTCCCCTGTGGCATGGCGAGCCGAGCAGACTCCAGCCGCTCTCAGCACGGAACATCAGCCACTCGCCGCCCGCACTCCCGAGTCACCCTCAGAGCGTTTCTTGTTGGTGTCTGGCGCCCATGTCTTTTTCCCCTTCCTGATTGGCCACCAGCTGCCGGGAAACGCGCCAATAGTAGGATCGGAGCATCTACGCATGCGTGTAAGCGTGAGGCCAGCACCGCGCTTGCTGTATGATGTGTGATGTTTAAAGTGAACGTTCCTAAGAATTAGTGGGGGCTGCCGTTGCAAGTCACCTACCAATGCCAGCTGCCTGCGTGTCCATATACATTAAACTTGTTTTTAGTATTTAAATACTTACCTTTATAAATACTCTTTTCTGAAAACTACAGGACAGAAAAATCCTACTTTGTTCTTGCTTGATGTGCAATGTTTATGAGGGGGCTGGGGAGTTGCATTTGTCATAATAAATCCTGTCTGTACTGCGCTGGCAGATTTCCTTATCAGTTGTTAAAGGTGAAGTATTGAGATAGAAAAATGTACGCTTCCCAATACTTAGAGCCGTTGTGTGACACAGCAAGGTATATATAGATCAAGAGCTGTGCGATCCCTGCAGAGAGTGGGGACTGTCATTCACCGCTCTCCGGCCGCAGGGATTCCCCCTCCCCTCTCTCTGTTCCTCCAGCTTTCATTGGAGGGACAGACAGAGAGCGGGCGGGCACAGCTGGCTCTGTCTCTAGAAAGGCAGAGCCAGCTGTCAATCAAGCAGTGGGGTGGATCCCATCAATACTGTAGGGATCTTTCCTGGGCCGTAGCGAGGGTGAGGCGACTGAGGCTCTCACCTTGGGGGGGGGCGTGCAGCCATCAGGGAGAAGGGGGGTGTTACAGCTATGCACAAAGGATCAGTAGATTAACTGATATGTATTCTCCTCCGCCGCTCAGCCACGCACAGAGCACAGCCTACAGCTTTTCCTCTGGATCCCCGCTGCTCTCCCCATCTGTATGCAGCGGGGATCCGAGGAGAAGTGAAGCACTTCAGCCGGTGGAGGGGTTTGGGCGTAGGAGGGAGCCGCACAGCAGCATGGCCGAGCGGTGAGGAGAGAGAGCCGCTCGTCCAGGATCTGACAGCTGGCGGCTCTCTCTCTACTCGCCGCTCAGCCATGCTGCTGTTACAGGAGCAAACACCCCCCAAACACATGCGTGAAGGAGGACCTTCTGCTGTGCTGTGTGAGCACAATCCCGGCAGAGCGTGCGGCTGTCTGTGATGCTAGAGGTACGTGTTTTAAGGGGTTAATCCGGGCCGGTACTAGAAGGAAAAGCTGCAAGCTGAGCTCCATGCATGGCTGAGCGGCGGAGGATCGGTACATATCAGTGATATATATCGATCATCTGTGCAGAGCAAACACTGGAGCGATATGCTGATCACTCCAGTGTTTGTAAATAACTGTTGACACATAGTAATATGTGTTACCAGTTATGAATGAACAGGAAGTGCTTTACATCAATTCTGAATGAATGGGAAGCCTCTGTACTTTTCATTCATTTAGAGCAGAGTCTGCAGAAAAATAGATTGAGGACTTTGTGTCCTCAATTTCTTTTTCTATTTTAAAAGGAAAATATCAGGTGGCTGTTTAGACACCTAATATTTCCCCGATGCCGCCCCTCCCCAACAGTAAAAAATTAAAAATAAATAAAAAATAATTTTAAAAAACATCCTGGAGGCACATGGAGGCGGTACTGGTTGATGTCACACCCCTCTTGGGGAGCACGTTCTTTTGTTCTTGCCTCAGACGCAAACAGAGCTAGCTACAGCTCTGCTTTCCTGACTGCAGCGCAGCTCTGTACTGTCAGTATATAGTGGCCAGTAGCCTGCTAGATGCTGAGTTTGGGTCACAGAAATACATTAGTGACCCAAAATAGAACTATAGCCAAGAAAATTTGGCTATTTCACAGTGATATGATACAAAGCCCATGGCATTTTAGTCTTGGTGCCCCCAGTGACGCCCCAGGTCTTTTAGAACCTTATTAATGCTCTTAGAATACAGTATATATGACATTAAATACACATATTGTACATAGAATGCGTGTTAGAAACTATTCCAAGTTTACCACTAGATGGAGACAAATGCATGCATTATTTGTATACTGGCAAAGGCTATGTAACTTAAAATGCCTGGGATGATCACAAAAATAGGTTTATGTAGGGATTGTAGTTAAATAGCACTAGACCTTTCAGCCTGTGAATGCCAGCAGCATAGAAATCCTTCCAAAGCAGCAATATAATGCCTCCTGTAATCAGCAGCATAGTTTGTTTATTGTGGTGTAGTCACAATGCTGGTAGGTTAATTGGCTCCTGTTTAAAATTGGCCCTTGTATGTATGCATGTTCTCCCTGTGCTTGTGTGGGTTTCCTCTGGGTACCCCAGTTTCCTCCCACACTCCGAAGACATCCTGGAAGGTTAATTGGCTCCTGTTTTAATTGGCCCTTGTATGTATGCATGTGAGATAGACCCCTTAGATTGTAGGCTCCTTGAGGGCAGGGGCTGATGTGAATGTGCAACTATGTCAAACGCTGCGTAAATTGTCGGCACTACATAAATACCTGTAATAAATAAATAATAAATACAAAAATGAAGTGGATTGGTCTAACCCTTTCACTGGCAAGGACATAACTAAAGCTGACTCCCAGCTGCTAAGTCAGTTTACTTTCATTCAGCAGACTCCCAGCTACATTCTGGAAGGAATTCCTTCCAGCAGCCCTGCAGCATGTCATGCCCACCACCATCCGCCAAGTTTTACCCCATAGTAGGTGTCGGCAGCTGCAGGAAAAAGAGATCAGTGGACATACGTTCGCTGATCTCTCCATTTAAAGAACCTGGAAGTGATAAGGATTCTTCAAGGTTCTAAGTTGTCATCTTGCAGCTGCTGTGGCCGCGGATTAAGCTAATCCAGCATGATTTGTGCTTGATCAGCTTCATTGGGCTGCAAAGGTGACAGTAAAGATTTAATAGGCCCCGAATGTCCCCTTAAAGAGAACATGTTACTGGTATCAGCTATCACATGGGGGGCTTGTTAGCGCCTCATGTAATAGCAATAACGTTAAGTGTAAAAAAAAAAGAAAGTTTAAATAATATTAATTAAGAAAACAACAATTTTTTTAAGTCTTCTCCCCACATACACACACATACAAATGTAAACGCATGCATTGTGTGCGCCTTCGCATGAAAAAGATGATTGCACCACACATGTTAGGTATCATCACGCGCGCTTAAGTGGGAGCATAATTCTAGGGCAATTATTTATGGTCAACTCTAAATTGATGAGCTGTAGACTTGTAAAACGTCACCTGTGGACAATTTTTCACGCGCACATGCAATTTTCAGGCTTAACATACACTATATTGCCAAAAGTATTGGGACACCTGCCTTTACTCGCACATGAACATTAATGGCATCCCAGTCTTAGTCCGTAGGGTTCAATATTGAGTTGGCCCACCCTTTGCAGCTATAACAGCTTCAGCTCTTCTGGGAAGGCTGTCCACAAGGTTTAGGAGTGTGTCTATGGGAATGTTTGACCATTCTTCCAGAAGCGCATTTGTGAGATCAGGTTGGACGAGAAGGCCTGGCTCGCAGTCTCCGCTCTAATAGTGTTCTATTGGGTTCTGTGCAGGCCAGTCAAGTTCCTCCACCCCAAACTCGCTCATCCGTGTCTTTTGGACCTTGCTTTGTGCACTGGCGCTCAGTCATGTTGGAACAGGAAGGGGCCATCCCCAAACTGTTCCCACATAGTTGGGAGCATGAAATTGTCCAAAATGTCTTGGTATGCTGATGCCTTAAGAGTTCCCTTCACTGGAACTAAGGGGCCAAGCCCAACCCCTAAAAACAATCCCACACCATAATCCCCCCTCCACCAAACTTTACACTTGGCACAATGCAGTCAGGCAAGTACCGTTCTCCTGGCAACCGCCAAACCCAGACACGTCCGTCGGATTGCCAGACAGAGAAGCATGATTCGTCACTCCAGAGAACACGTCTCCACTTCTCTAGAGTCCAGTGGCGGCGTGCTTTACACCACTGCATCCGACGCTCTGCATTGCACTTGGTGATGTAAGGTTTGGATGCAGCTGCTCATCCATGGAAATCCATTCCATGAAGCTCTCTACGCATTGTTGTTGTGCCAATCTGAAGGCCACACGAAGTCTGGAGGTCTGTAGCTATTGACTCTGCAGACAGTTGGCGAATTCTGTGCACTATGCACTTCAGCATGCGCTGACCCCGCTCTGTCATTTTACGTGGCCTACCACTTCGTGGCTGAGTGTCTGTTGTTCCCAGTTGCTTCCACTTTGTTATAATACCACTAACAGTTGGAATATTTAGTAGCAACTAAATTTTTGGAAGGGTGTCCCAATATGTTTGGCAATATAGTGTATTTGGTATCTGTTTACTGGACACAACCTCATCTTTCATATTTTATTATATTATATATATATATTTGATTGTATTATATTGTGTTTCTGTGCACTAAAATTAATTTGAATGAATTTTCTAGGCTATGTTTACACCATCTCCATTGCGTTCCAGCATAGTTAGCTGCTGGAACGCACTGGATCGCATACTTTCTGGCTCCCTGTGTTCTGTGGCACCACAGAGCACAGCTTTTCAGTCCAGTGCGATCACAAAAAATAGTGCTTGGAGGGGTGGCATCTGGGTGGAACCCAGATTCAGATAAGCCCCCCTGCTCACATTTAGAAACAACCTAACTCCTTCCAAATAGATTAAAACAGATCTGAATTTCAGAAGGCAAAAAAAAAAAAAAAGTTGGAATAGAAAACTAAATTTGTAACCATGCACAAGTCTACACACAACATAGTATATAGGGGGCATGGGGTAGGAGCATATAATGTACAGCACATTGTCTAACATGCAGGGGTCAGCTACTAGTAGGTTAAATTGCTCACACTGTTGATTTTTTGAGTTTCATAGTTGTCTGTTTGAAAACAACTTCATGGTTCTAATATGTTCTAAAGC